AAGGGGACAAGAGAAGTATTATTGGTGCTCAAGTAGTATCTGATGCAGGCAAGTACCTACATCTGGCTATTCAGGGTGCAACAAGCTCAGGGCACAATAATTCACAGGCCAGGCCACAAGCTCTCGTCTCACATCTTTCTTCCAGAAGTTGAGTGGATATGCCTTGGCATCTGTCAAAGGTTACTTTCATTCCTACATGGAGAAAACTTACTTGCGGAGATGAACGACAGACACGGAATCCTGGTAATGTGAAGTCTCGGTTTTATCACCCGAGTTCTCAGAATTCCACTGACTTTCTACAGCTCTTCATTTCATTATGACCCGCCTTCTATGCACATAAGACAATCCCTAATCAAATCACCTCAGCCTGATCTGAGTTGAGTTGCTGCCACTTAATAGCGAAATATAGTATCTGAAAATATAAAATTGATAGGAGAAAATAGAATGTTAGTAATTACAAATATAAAATTGATAGGAGAAAATAGAATGTTAGTAATTACAGCCTTAAACTGGAGAACTACATGATCTAAGACAATTTGAGGAGCAGGAAAAAAGCCAAAGACCCCTAAGGGTCAGACAATAGCAAACGCTGCCAAACTGCGAAAGGACCCCCACCCTCCTTTTCCTCTGTGCATAAAGTAGAAGGCGGCTGAAGTCCATGGGAGCATGAAACGAGGCACGACTGGCCGTCTCCTCAACATCCTCTCAAGTCTCTCCAACGGTCCTACTTCCTCACAAACCTAGACCACATAACGAACACCTCATCTGCTATAAATCAGAATCTCCCGGGAAGCTGTCTGAAGATAGCGGACCGATACTCTCTGCCTTCCTGACCCAAACTTGTATCACCCTGCCCCCCACCCCACCCCACCCCGGCAGAAGACTCAATAAGACTTCTGAAATTGGTAACTAGCTAAAGGCATTTCTGAAACTGTATAACTGGGAAGAAAGTAGGGTGTGCAGGCTGGAGAGAAACACATGGAAAGTGTTGAATCAGCATTGTTTTCTGTTCTTCAATTATCTCTTCCCTCTGGTAATTCCCTCCCTCTGTCAGGAGGCCGTTCCTGCTCCACGGTCATTTCCTCATGCCCCCAGTAGACCCATCGGTCAGGTAATTCCATGTCTTTGAGCAAATCAGAGGCCCCTACCCCTCTGACCACAGTAACTATGAATAGGTGGGCATATAACATCAGTAAGGCCAATCAGAATCCTTCATTTAGACCTTTCTACCTTGGATCAGGAGGAAGCTCATTGACTCTTGAAAGAACATGAATTCTAAAGCTGCCACTAGACTCTGAAACTACTACCATCTGCTCTGAAAGGGGTCACATTGGAAAGTCCTGAATAGAGAGGATGAAGATGGGGAGCAAAACTAAAAAACTCTGAGACAGGCTGACTGGTCTGCCATAGAGGTTACATGTTGCTGCCGTCCTCGAGTCAGCCGTTGGAAACCACCAGGTGCTCCTCAGGACAGAGGCTCCCTCAAAGTGTTACAGTCTTGGAAGCTGATGGGGTCGTCCTACCCTGGCCTGTAGTGTTGCTATGACTGTTAGCAGTGAGTTTAGGGTTGCTGGGGATAGCGGGGGGCAGGGGTTAGTCATACAGAGACTGGTGGAACCCTAGAGACTATTGCTCTTCCCACTCAGATCCAGAAATAAACTCGCCCCTGTAGTTCAATTTTTCCAGCCAAACAATAGACACTTTTAGAAAGGAAAAAATCACTCTAGGGAGGTAAGCACACCTTAGAATAATCTATCTTTTGAAATTAAAAGGACAGTCATTACCCAAGGACAAACTTCAGAGGCGTTAGGGAAGAAGGCATAGAAACAGGAAACAGGGAAGAAGCAAGATAAGTTATATTACCTGACATTCCATTCCATGACATGAAACTAAAATTATATGGATTGTTGAATGGAAATCCTATCTGCTCTGTAAACCTTCACCCCAATTCACAATAAAACATTTACAGAGTAAATGAAAAAACTTTAAGTTGCCAGTAGCAGTGCTTTCTGTGTGCTCCAATGCTGATCAGCTGGGAAACATTAAGAAACGCAGAGAAAGTAAGAGGCAAAAGACAGGGAAAAACAGAGACTTCCTGAGGATTCATGCCTCGTCAAGCCCAGGACCCAGGGCAAGAGTAAAAATGAAAATCCACATATTTATACCCGTATATTTATGTTATAAATCAAGCTAACACACTGTTACATAAATTACGGTCTTCACAAATATTTTTACTTCATGACCTGAAAAGCCTGGCTTAAATTCAGAATTATCAGGCTTTTGAGAGTTCCTTTCCAGTAGGGGGAATGTTGGGCCCTAGCTCTCAGGCCCTGGCTTACCCACCTCTTTTATAATCCCAGTTCCAGCCTTCACCCCAAAAGTGAAGGCACACATTAGTCTTTGGCAACACACATTGAAGTTGATCGAGGCATTCCCATTCCCACACAAAAGCAACTCCGTGCCTATTTCTCAATAGGATGAACCAGGCAGAAGTGGTATGGGTATATGGAATGTAGTATGAACTTTATAGTGGGTCTGGACTCATTTGGGGTGGAAATGCAATCCAACCTTTGTCTCTGGGGGTTGAAAACATTACATATAAGCTTAACCGACATGAAAACACAAACAAATCATATACTGCAACATAGTAATTAGTATATATTACTCACAATATATATACACACCCAGGCTAAGTGTGGTTTGTTGTAACTTGAATAAGACCTAAATCTGGGGACTATGTATAGCTCCATTCTCGATCTCATTACACATCTAACTTTCAGGTGATCATTTACTGGAGATTGGCATGTTAGTTTTCAAATTCAAGACAGTATATAAAAATGAACAGAAACCATCTTCTCCAGAAGCTCAGTGACTCCCCAGTTTGGGGCCCATTTATTTTTGTTCACTTGGCTTTAGTTTTGGACAGCTTTTGCTCGTTTTGTTCCTGGTTGATTCTCCCAGTCTTTGGGTCTCCAACGGTGCAATCAGTTAGTACCTTTTCTTTTGCTTACCGTGGAATGCTGTTGATTCTTCCCACGCAAGATGTTTCCTACTCATCCTTTCTTATCGGGCGCCCTGCAGGAAGCTCTAGTGGGTCTCTTGCTTCCAAACCTTGTTCTGCTCTAGTTTATTTTCATTCTCTTCTCAGAATACATTTTCCTGATTAAAAGTCATCAGTGAATTCCTATGTGCCAGAAGACAAATCCAGATTCCTCTCCCTACACTCGGTCTCTTCCAAGGGCTCCTCGAATCCCCAATCTTTCCTTCGACTCTGCTTCCACATACTCCATCCTGTCTCACCCCCTCTTGCTATAGTTGCCTGAATTTCCCATCCCCGTGTTCAACAGAGCCTTGATGACGAGACTTCAGTCCGGAAGCCCTCAGCCCTCCAACCCACAGTGTGTTTCCTTCCTCTTCCGGGTTTCTTCTCCCTCGCTATTTGTGTGACACTCAACTCCCTTCATTGTCTTGAACTGATGCAGACATTTGGTCGTGCTACACTTACTTGCCTTTCAAATGAAATTTTAATTTGTATAGAAAAATTATTCTTTTATCACAATTGGTTTATCTATCCTTCCCATTAGCAAACCCCCAATGGTATGTCTAAGAGTTGCCTAAGAAGTCTTATTTTGCTACTTCTTTATATTAAAATTAAAGACTGTGATTTTTTAAAAATCATTTTATTGGGGGCTCATACAACTCTTATCACAATCCATGCATACATCAATTATATCAAGCACATTTGTATTTTCGTTGCCCTCATCCTCAAAATATTTGCTCTCCACTTAAGCCTTTGGTATCAGCTCCTCATTTTCCCCAACTCCCCCCTCCCTCATGAGCCCTTTATAATTCATAAATTATTGTTATTTTATCATGTCTTACACTGCCCAACGTCTCCCTTCACCCACTTTTCTGTTCTCCATCCCCCAGAGAGGAGGTTATATGTAGATCCTTATAATCATTTCCCCCTTTCTACCTTACCTTCTGTCCACCCTCTGGTATCGCCACTCTCACCACTGATCCTGAAGGGGTCATCTGTCCTGGATTCCCTGTGTTTCCACTTCCTATCTGTACCAGTGTACATCCACTGGCCTAGCCGGATTTGTAAAGAAGAATTGGGATCATGATAGTGGGGGGAAGGAAGCAATTAAGAATTAGAGGAAAGTCGTATGTTTCATTTTTGCTACACTGTATGCTGACTGGCTCGTCTGTCTCCCCATGACCCTTCTGTAAGGGGGTGTGCTGTTACCTACAGAAGGGCTTTCGGTCTTCACTACCCCTCATTTACAATGATATGATTGTTTTTGTTCTTTGATGCCTGATACCTAATCCTTTAGACACCTCATGGTCACACAGGCTGGTGTGCTTCTTCCATATGGGCTTTGTTGCTTCTGAACTGGATGGACACTTGTTTATCTTCAAGCATTTAAGACCCCAGACACTATATGAATTTTGTTGTTGTTGTAGTTATATGGTACCTAAGGAACTCTGGTAGCACAGTGGGATATGAGGTGGATTGCTAACCACAAGATCAGTAGGGCAAATTTACCCATTGCTCCATGGGAAAAAGATAGGGCTTTCTGCTCCCATAAAGATTGAGAGCCTTGGAAACTCAGAGGGGCGGTTCTACTCTGACCCAGTGGGTTGTTAGGGGTTGAAATGAACTTGATGGCAGAGTTGAGTTGTTGATATGGTACCAGGTATTGTGGATGCTAAAGAGGTTCGTAAATTCTTGCTAAAGTCCATCTGCTAAACACTACATCTGTACACAAGTCTCATTATACTAAAAATGTTCCCCCTACAATTATCTTTTGAATAACAATGTTATTATTCATTTTACATGAAGTGTCATGTTCTGATAAAAAAAAAAACACTCATTAATTTACACTTTTCTGAATGTAATCTCCGAGCCCAGACTATCTGGCCTATCTGTGTTTGGGGAATTGAAAAAGAAAAGAGTCAACAAACTCAATATTTAACAAATGTAACAGAAGACATAGTTATTTCCTTCTTTCTTTTTATTGAAAAGGAAAAATTTCTATTCTAGCGCAAACAATGTATATTTTACATCATAAAGCAAGATATAATTTACATATTGCATTTCGTATGAGATCTTTATACTCTAAATGCCATTCCCTTTTTTTCTTAATCCCCTCATCTTTTTTGGATTGAACCTGCCAAGTACTTTGCAAATCAATTCTTTGTTTGGGGAATGATTAGGGACCCAGAGAGACAGTTTACAGATGTTTTCTGTATCTGTCTCCATGATGGAAAGGAATATGGATGTGCCTTGAACTTGTGACCTGGGGGCCTCAACTGACACCTGGCTTAGGAGCTCGATGACTCCTTCTCCCAATCTGTTATGGAGACGTAAGTCATTAAAAAAAAAAGCCAACACTAAATGAACAAAACTGAGTGTTTATACCATGTGTATGCTTCTTGATCAAGTGCTCAGATAATAGACACTTGGGTGTTCCTTCAATAATGGAAGCTCTTGTACTGCGTGGCCAGTACTGACTACTCTATGTATGACGCTCCCAGATTCCACTTGGTCATTCATTGTCGGTTTCACCTAGCATTCAGGTTATGGGCACAATTTTTCTCTTCTGTGACAGTGGGGAAAGCATTAAGTGGCTTTTTTTTTCATGTGACCCACTGCCTACCTCTTCTTGACCTCCCTTCTTAGGAAAACCCTCTCATGTATGAGTTCAGTTCCCTGTACTAACCCTGATCCTTTCTATTGTTCTCCTTATGCTCCAAGTCTCCAAGTTCACGCATTTCTTGGACTGCAATCATTTCACAAGTCAAAGAACGCTTCGGTCTGTTAGGATATTCTGCTGGTTTGGGATTTGATAATCCAGAGAGGCAAGTAGGACAAAAGAATGAGCCAATGGGGCTCCTTAGGAAGCAAGTGTTAAGTGTAGTTCAACCAACCGGGATGAACCATTAAGTAAGAAATGCTTTCAAAGTGGGTTAAAAGAAGGAATCAGCTGATGAAATCACAATGTGCTACATAAGTTTCCTTCTTGTTATTCTGAGGAGTATTTCTGTAACATTTTGGAGTTCATTTTCATATGGGTGTCTGCTAGAATTTTTTTCAATACCATTTGTTCAATCTGATATGCCAAGGGAAATACAAGTTTGTAATGAAAGTGCATCTTTAAACCAAAATTTCTTGCCTGTCACTCAGTACAAAGTAAGCATATTTGGCCAGAGTCATTTTTTAAAATCACTAATAAGTAAAATTAATAGCACCAAGCTGGTCAGATGAGACTATATGTAAAAAAAAATCATATGCTTGTTGCATGTGGCTTAAATTACTCTTTGGTCAGATGATGTGACGTTGGTGAGATCTGTAAATATAAATCTATTTCTCATTTCCAAATACAAGGTTATAAGTATTTACAGCAAGGTAGCAGGTCCTCACTAGGAAACAAGGCTACCAGGTACCGTATTGTTGTGTTGCTATTGTACACTTCTATGGTCCCTTCCCTCCCTTGGCTACAAAGTGCTGGGTATACAGGAAATACAGAAAAGAAGAAAGGAGCAAATGAATAGAGCCTCACAACACCCCTGTGAGGTAGGTAGAGTCTTGTTAAACCCATTTGACAAACAGGTAAGCTGAGGCACAGCATGGTAATGTGTTTGGTCAAGTCTACTTGGCAAGCATCAAAAGTCCAGCTGGGAACAAAGAAAAGGAAAGAGCGAAAGAACTGTCCCAGCTCCCAGCACTAGGACACCAAACTTTATGTCAAAATGTCAAAAAAATATTTAAATAGCCCACAATTGCCTTTGGCATATTTGGAATTTAGACAAACCTTAAGCATTCCACTTAAACATGTGTCTTTCAATTTCCTGTTGGGTAGAGAAAAGGCAAATGGCTAAATGGCTTTCCTTCCTCTCAGTGCAATTCTCACCATCAGGATACATCTTCATTCCATCGGAGCTTGGGCTCCTAACAAATGGACACTCAAAATATATATATATATATATTTCCAATTCATTTAAAGGCATAATGTGAAAATGAGGCCTGTTCTCAAGAAGCTGACCTACCTATCAATTGCTTGTGGACTTAATGAGAATTTTGTGCAGAGAAAGAAACAAGATTCCATGTCAATCAGTCTCATCACTGTGGAAACAAGAACAGTGGTGGAAGGGTGGAATTTGAGGGTGGTGGGTTGTAGCATTTGAGAAACTGTAGATTGAAGCTCACAAAAATATTTTATATATATTTAAACTATATAAATATCTACAGTATGTATATATAAGTGTGCATCTGACTACTCTTTACCCAAGGCCCGAAAGAGATGGAGGCAATGCTGTTTACAACTCGGTCTTTACTTCCCTAGAGAAATTCATCTTCCTGTCTCAAAGAAGAAGTAATTATTCTATCAAATCACCTGTGACAGCACCTCATTTGAAAGCAACACAGATTTCTGACTTATGATGGCCGGTGGAACAGGAGAGAAAGGGATGGTGGTAATGGTGATATTTAATACATAGCTTAGAGCTTAATCTATAGCTTATATCTAGAGACTGGATCTATAGTTTGTAGCTTAGAATTAGCCAGAGACAACCAGTCATATTGGATCAGATAACTAGTAAGCAGATGTTGTACAAATACCTTATCATAACTAACAGAGATGGAGACAACGAGAAAGGGAATCATGCCTGGCACAGCTGTTTTGGAGAAAGATGTTGGTTTTATGAAAGCTCCCAGAACGTACGTGCAGTGAATTGGGAAGAAAGGCAGCGAAACTCACTGAGGTTCAAGCAGGTCAACAAGAGTCTAGGCACTTATTCTGAGTCCAGGCACTCCCTGGGACATAGAGAAAACCAGTTCCTAATGAGTCATTAAGTCCAATTGGTAAGTAAGTCAGAAGGGGTGCATAAGGATCTTATTTCGCCTTACTTTATAGTGCAAGAAAAGGAGGCCTGGTGGCACTGTGGACCAGGCTCTGGACTGCTAAGGGTAAGGTTGGCAGTTTAAATGCACCCACCTTCTGAGGGAGAAGGGTGAGACTGTCTGCTCCTCCCCAAATCTACCATCTCAGAAATCCTCGATAGTGCCCTATGGGTGAGAATCAGTGCAGCCAGTAGGTTTGGGATTTTTAGTGCAAGGAAACAACTCGAAACTTTTCAATGATTTAAATGCTGAACATGCAGCAAGTGAAGGTGAATGTGACAAAGAATTTTTTGTTTGAATAAGAATCGGTTTAATAGTTTCAAAGTCAGGACACATTTACATAACGTTAAAGGACAAGTACAACATAAATCCAAAATTCATAACCCAGGGACTTACTGTACCTTGTAATTATATATATACTTGTATATGATTTCTTTGGTTGCTGCAGGGTTTTGTTTTGTTTTTAAATCTCAGACAACCAAGGGCATGGGTGGGCTGGACCTAACTGAAAAAGCTCAGAGTATATTAAGCAAAGCAGAATGGAAGAAAAACAAAATAAACACACAGAGCAACAAGTGGCGGTGGTATCCCAGAGGGAGGAGGAACATTTGTTAACTAATTTTCATTTTGCTCCTCTCCTGCTTTTCTCTGCCATGGTCCCAATATTTTAGTTCTGGTTTTTGTTTGTTTATTTTTATTTTTTCCCCAGCAGATGAAGAAATGACAGAGCAGGATAGGTGTCTTATGGTTTTTGATTTCTTCTTAGGCCTGTTTTATTTATTTATTTTTTCCTCAGTTGACTGTTGGCACCTGGTTCCTCTGTAAACTATATTCCTTGGCCTTCAGTCTCAGGTTGGCAATGCTGTTGGCCATGTTGATGCCCTGTGCAGGGCTATTGTTGGCACACGTGGCAGAATAAGTAGCCATGGCGCTGTAGGGACAAAGGAGAAAGCAGGGAGAATAACAGGCATTAGTTTCACAAAGCTGACGTCTGTGACCCACGATGGAGGTACTGTCATTAGGGGGACAGGCAGGGCAGTTGGGTTAGACTAGATATTTCTTTCTCTGCATTCCCTGTTGGCCCCTGTATTCCATGGGCTTAATGCCCTTTGAGAAGTCTAGCAGCATTGCAAAGGGTCAGGGGAAAATGACAGGGGATGGAACAAGGACAGGGAGAGGTATTTGCTGTGCTGGACACAGTGAGTAATGATTTATTTCTGGGGTGAGAGAAGAGAGTTGTTTGTGTTGAATAGCAGGTGCTTCATCCACTGACCAATATAATTTAATCTCTCTCCCTGCCTACATTACCGGCCAATGGGAGAAATGAAGAAGAGAAGTGGGCATTTGAAAATAAATGAATCGAAGAGAATTTTGCCTTCCTCACTCTGACTACTCAGTCCTACGTAGCTGGACTTAATTCCAACACATTCGGAAGAATCAAGAAACACCACACTAACCAGTGTGCTAGCCAAGCCACTTAAACAGCCTAAGATGACTTCTCTGCAGTTTGTTTCAATGAGTTACTAGTTGCAAGCATTGCTGAATCAATGTATTCCCTTCAGGTGGCTCAGACTTTATAGACTCTCTTCAAAGGTTCTTGTGTCTCGTGTGCCTTAAATCTCCTAAATAAAATATCAAAAGTTCTACAATTTCAGGAGTCCAGAGGTAATTGGTTCTCACCATGACTGAGAAAAGCCTGCAGCTGTTTTCCATGGACAAAGATTGTAATGGAGACTTGGGAACACAGTACGGGTGGCTTTCTGTTCATTGCATCCATGCATCTGTTTTAACTGAAAATGGAACTTTTTGTTTGCTTGTCTGCTTTAGATTTGGATGCAAATTGTCCACTGCTATATACTAAACAGCTGGAAAAAGGGGGGGGGGTTATTTTAATAAAATGAAAATATCTCTAATTGCTCTAAGCATCAAGAAATCTCTTTCAATTGCAGGGTTGGCATGAGGTAGATTTATCAATGGAATCACATATATTTTTGTTTCCTGCATTCCAGTGGAATTTGGTCAGCCACACAGGAATTTGTCATTCGGAAGATCAAGTGACAAGACTACGATAAGAGAAAATTAAAGCTACTCAACAAATACAAAGAATATATCATCAGTACTGTTTTAGAACACATCATCAACACTTCATAGTCCAGACTCATGGTCAAGACTCACAATAGTCCATTTCTGCTCAGATGCTAGCAATTGACAAAAGAAAATTACTTTAAAGAAATACAGTTAATCCCGCATCACTATATCTTTGCAGAAAAACAAACAAACGCATGCTTAATAACACTGATCTGTGTGTACCTGTATGTGTATGTGTGTGACAAAGGAAAATGAAGACCCAGAAGGGTAAACAAAAAAAATCCCAATTTCTTCTATTTAATCTCAGCTTGCTCCACTCATCCATCCTGTCTAGGTAGATGATTTGATCCTTCTCAGCAAGGTAGGTTCTCCTATAACACCTTGTCCTTTGCATTTCAGCAGTTTTTCCCCTTTTAATTAATAGCTCATTGAATATCTACAAGGGGGCTTCAAAAAGTCCATTGGGAATTCTTTTATTACCTTTTCAATCCACTTTTTCCCACAAACTTTCTAATGCCCCCTCATATTACTTTCCTCAGCAATTAGCTCCTGGTTTGCCACCGTATCGTCAGGTAAAGGTGGCACCATACCTATCACATATTTGGTGCCCAATAAGCTACCTAATGAGTAAATAGTAAGAGAGAGGCATGTGCATTATGATGAAGCTGATTCCTGCTCCATGTCCCCGGCTCTTCCATTTTATGATCAGCAATGCTTTTTTAAATTTAAATACCAATGAATTATACTTAGCAGCTTACTAAGTAGAAACAAAATGAAGATGGCAAGTTGACTGCATGTTCTTGGATCCATCGGAAAATATCATTTCATAATAAAAGATGTACAGGTATTAGTACAGGTTAGACTTATACAATAGACTATCACTCCCACCTCTCTCTACCAAAGGATAGAATTAGGAGTCCCCAGTTAAGGGAGGTTTCAGTTAGGAGTGAAATAAATCACTATACAACATACTGAAAAGGGTCAAGCTTTGTTGTTGTTGTTTTTACAATGTATCAAGAAACATCATTTATTTTTAAAAACTTATATGCACATTATCATTTAATTCATACATGAGTTATATGTTTCCCCTTGAGACCTATCAGGAATGTATACAAATTCAGAAAACCTATTGTCAAGAAATTTCTCAAATGTGCTAAGGTCCCAAATCTAGGTAGCTAAGAAAAGACACAACTAGATTTGGGAAATGTACCTAGTCATGGATTACTAGGATTTGGGGTCAACCAAAGCAACGTTTCTTCAGCAGGTTTCTATAAGCCAATTAAGGCTAAATGATGGTCCTTGATTAGTACCATTTAAACTATGTAGGAGTGAACCTGGAAATGCAAGCTCTCTGTATTATTGCCAAGCTTTGAAAATCAATTAGATTTGCTCTGAATAATTCATTTGGGAGAATAAAATGAACATTTTGATGATAAATTAAAGATTGTTGTGGAGTCTTGTGTGGTGAAGGAGTTGGCTTGTGTTTCTGAGGAATTTTTTTCTATCCTTTGAGAGTGTGGCCAAAGTTTTGCTCAGTGTTAGTTTAGTTTACTTTTGTTTTTTGCCTACAGACTTCTAAATCCCTTCTTTAATACTTTAAAGATTAAGGCTTCAGTCTGTGTCCCTACAGGAAAAGGCAATGAGGACACGGACTCCATTCCATTTATGGAAGAGGCATTCGCTTTCTTCTCCAAATATGGGCTATGGTGGGGACTTCGATTTCTTCTGTCCTAACACCGTTTTTATTGTAGCTCCTTCATTGTCTACTCACTTTATCGTTTGAGAACTTAACATGATAACTCGTTTCTTTACAATGAAAACCAGTTGAATCCGTAGATAAGAAACTGGAAAGGCAACTTATCTGTACCATTGCTAAACTTTGAGAATACATTTGAATGGCTCTGAATATTTCAGTTGAGAGAATAAAATGAAAATTTTGATGAGTGAAATGAATGTTGGCCTACTTTCTATCTCAAACCTAATTAATGAAAAATTAGAGTTATATTTTGGGTAGGAGATTGGATTACCACCAGGACACTTGCGTTTCATTGTAGTCTGACATTTCCAGAGTAGGGAACAGCATTCGTTGGGTGGTTACTGCTATAAGGACACCATTATTATATGAGTGAAACAGTGACAATATCATATGGGCAGCACTCAAATTATTGGGCTTGAGGATACCAAAGTAATTAATATTAAGAAATACATTTTGCAATCCCCCATGGGCTCAGTAAGTGATAGCATTTTTACTTGGTTAATGTTTTAAAAAGTTATAAACTTTCAAATATTGATGTGATTTGTTTCAGCTCTTCATAGTCATAAAAGTAGAGTAAAAATAGGAAGTTTTCATTCCCAGGCTCTTAAATATTTAGAAGATAAAACACTACCTGTATGGGACTCCAGAGAGATGGCGTATACATACTAAAGAATTACATGGGTTTGTTTTCCCGCCAATACTTTGACACGGGTCTAGATTTTAAGCTTGGGCTAAAAGTACTGTCAAGGCAAGGAGGGAGCAATCTTTTGATAGAATAGTGACAAGGAACACATGTTAGAGGTCAGAAGGGACAGAATTAACGAGTGGGTAGTCTAACAGTAGCTCAGTCATGCTTTTAAAATGGCATTAAAAGACGGGGCGACCTTCTCCCTAGAGTGACGACAGATGCAAGAGGGCCGAGAGTTGTTGCCGGTGTGAATGACTGTTTCTGACCACCTGTTCTCCATGTCATCAAACTTCTAAGGCTCTGTTTTCAGAAATCAGAGCCCGGAAATATTTTCTTTCAAGACAGAGAACTGTGAGGGCAAGTAGCAATTCAATCCATTGCATAGGGCCATTGCAATTATGTAAAATGTTCTTATACAGGATAAAAGAGGTGAGATTGAAGGTAAATAATTTGAATGTATTAAGCACATGATAACCCCCATCAGCTGGCTTAATAGGTATCTAAGATCCCACCCATTGGTCTTGCCTTCTGAATGAGAACTGACGATTCCTCTAAGCAGCGCACAGACACTAGGTTAATTTCTTTGGGCTACAGCACCTTTTTAAGAACATAAAGTTGGGCCCATTGTCAAGAATTTATGTTGCCAAATAAAGTGCATCAAAGAATTAGACGTGGAAAAAGTCCTGCTTGTATCCCATCTGCTGAGTCCTCAAATCCATATTGGGATGCACACAGAGATTGCACATTTAAGCAAGCTTGAAGTTTTCCAATCTCCAATTTTGGAGATTCCCAGTAAATGCAGCTCAGCCCAAGACAAGACAGTACTAACCACTTGTAAGGTTAGAGATCTGTTTTCCCTGGGGACAATTTTTTTTTTTAACATTTCAACCTACTCTAAAAAAAGTTGGCAGTCATAAGGAAGCATATGACTATGAAGCACCAAAGAATCATGGGAGCTATTAAAATGGTCTACGGTTAAGACCAGGGAGCATATGGACACCTGCCTTACTGCTATTTAATCACCAAGAGTATAAAGTCCTACACATCACAAGACTCTTGGGGATATCTTACAGAAGAATACTAGACCCCATTTTCAATTCTAACTTTGTTTCCTATTTGGCCCATTTGGAAAAATGGTAATGCAGTATCTAAAATTTTATCCTAAAGACAAGTCTGTCAGTCCTACAACTTTGGGAGTCTTCCTGAGAGCCAAGGGTTTCACCAATGCAAAGGGGATTTTTTTTTGTTTTGTTTTTAAGCTATAGAGGTTGTAGTTCTTTGTATTTGTATGGCTCACAATACGTGGAAATTGAAGGTCTTTTCTCGCTCTGTCCTTTAGTCAATACAAGAACAATGGAGGTATATTTGCTTCATCTAATAACACCCAATACTAGTTCGCCTCAAGAAACTTACTCTAAAACAGAGATCCCTTAAATGCTTTTAGAAGTGATCTTTTGTAACTTAAATGATCATATCTAACTTCTGTTTTTAAACTTCAGGTGTTGATTTTTTACATATACAATTAGAGCTTTAAATTGAATACACCCGGACCTCATTTCATTAGTAAGGCTTCGATTTGCACTGCAGAATTTGTTCCTCCTGCTATCTTTAACTTTTCTTGATGGAGTATTTTAATATAAAAAGCCTCTGGGATCTTTTTTATTATCTCAGGCCTTTTGTCTTGTTTTGTTTTGTTTAATTGCTTACCTATCGGTTCCAAACACAGCCTGTGGTGTATATAATAGGGAAAACTCTTGCTAGCTCAATTTGAGATACAAAGGTTACCTAGGGATCAGCGAATCACCTGAGCTGGGGTGCAACCGGAACTAAGATAAGAACATTGAGTCCTTCCAACTCCTGCTCCATGCCCAACAGGAATACTCAAAGTATGTACCAGGTTGTCAACAGCACTGCCATCAGCGGACATGCCAAATCTGAGGCCCAGCCCCAGAGCCACTGAACCCGTCTGCCCCATTACAGGCTCCCTGGAGGTCCCTATCCACAGTCTTGTTGAGGGACTCTGTTCTAGATCAACCTGTACTGCGTGCACACATTCTCTCGTAGCTCCGAGTGCCAACTGCATTGCCCTCCCAGGGATCTCACTGCTTACCTGACTAGGACTGGGAGCCCCACTTGCTTGCACACGCTTACTTCCCACTTAAACCCTACCCCCAGCAACCTCCCTCTTCCCCCTCTGACAAGTTACCTTTTCAGTGTCTTCCGTTAGAATCCGTTATGAAGCCCCTCGTGTAAACAACATCTTGGGAGGGACGAGGATCTATTTTTGAAAGTGTGAAAGGGAGAAATGAGCCAAATGCGTTCAGCAGATGTCGGCAGCACTGTGACCACGATCAATGAGGGGCTGGGGGAGGAGGAGGCGGAGGATGGGAAAGGGAAACAATGGACAAGGGAGCTGCCTCTCTTTTACTTGTCAATCGTTTTTTTGGGGCGGTTGTTTTTAAGTCCAGCCAGTCCACCCTCTGGAATTGGCACTCGAGACAAACACTGCAAAGCCACATCCGTTGTACCTGCCACAAGACAGAATCCCTCTAGGAAAAGGCTTCTTGGCCACTTCATCTGAAGTAATGGTTCAAGGCCCAGGACTAAATTAATCCCTACTACCCCAGAGGCAAAGTACTTCAAAGATCAGTGAGTCTTACAGTGCTGGTGAGTGTCTGTGCTTTCATCTCCACAATTTGCCTAAGGAAACTTGTCCTGAGCTATGGCATGGGATCTGGGCCAAAAACAAGTTTCCAACGGCTGAGCATGGGTGGAGAAAGAAGGCTTCTGCCAGGACAGTAGTGATAGAGAATGCACCTCAGTTGCCCGCCTGCCATCATAACCTCCAAAGGGCTGAGGGTCATGAACCAGGTCATGCCACGCTCTACATAGTTCATTTTGTGTTCCGGTTTGCCAGGAACAATCCCCACTCATGCCTCTTGTCCCAGTGTGTTTATTAACAGCCTTTTCCTTGCACTCTCAAAGTGTCCCTGGTTTGAATGATAAATTATACAGCTACTCTGGATATAAATGACAGAGTGCGGGGGGG